CATGAGGATGACTCTGGTAACTAATGTCGTAGTCAGTCAGGCAAGAGGACGGTGGACTGCACCGGAGTGGTAGCAGGTGGGAAGTGGTCAGATTCTGGGCACATCTGAAAGGCAGAGGCAGTGGACTTGCACAAGTGTGAGGGAGGCAGGGAGCCCAGAATGGCCCTGGAAAGGTGGAGTGGAGATGGGACCAGGTCCAGGGAGGACGAGTGTGTGGGGAAGATCAGGAAGAGAGCATGGGACGAGCTGGGCGTGAGGTGCCACTTGGTAGCCACGTAGAGACACCGTGTGGGGTGTTGGCTGTGTGAGCCAGGGGTTGGGAACGAGGTCCAGGCTGCAGCTGTGACACTGTAAGTTGCCAGCATGGAAATGCTGTTCAGAATCACGAGACGGGATGAGGTCTCCAAGGGAAGAGTCGGAGATGAGGACCAAAGCCTGTGCACTGGGAAAAAAGAGACCCAGCCAAGGACCGTGAGAAGGACGGTGCAGTGAGTGGAGTGCGGAGCCAGAAATGAGGCCCGGAAAGAGCTGTGAGGAGGATGGGCGGTCAGCCGTGCCAGTGCTTCCGATGGGCCAAGCGCGCGGGACCTCAGGGTTGTCCGGCAGACTCAGCCACGTGGAGGTCGTTGCGACCTTGACAGTGTCTGTGCCATGCCGGAAGGCGAGGCGAGGCTGGGAGCGGGAGGTAGAAAAGGTTGCACGTCCAGCATGGAGAGCTCGCTGGAGGAGTTTTGCTGGCAGAACAGCAAGCAGACGAGGAAGTTGCTGGTGGGAAGGTAGGGTGCTGGCGGGAACACAGCGTGAGAGATGCCTGTGACTCCTGATGTGGTGTCTGTGGTCGAACTGGTCCAGACCCCAGTCATTGCTCTTTCCTTACTGGGGGAGGGAGAGTGAGAGTGAAAAGCAAAGGACAGGGGAAAGGGTGAATCATCCACATGTTAAGTGTGTGTTTACGTGCGCGCGCTCTTCTATGTAAGGCATCTTATGTGGCTGATGAAATATTAAACCATGCACAACATACTGGCAATTAGAAAAATACAAAGCAGAATACGAAGTACAACAAGGAAGATATAGACAGACACAGACAAGGACTTCCACAGGGCTACAGTGCAGACAAAATGCAACTAGCTCTGGAGAGAGCATGGTGGTGCTTCCTCTCACCAATCCTCTTCTTCTAAACTTTATCTTGCTCCCAAGGGCCCAGTCTGTCCCCTACCTGGACTGAACATTTCCTTAAGAGCACACTGTAATCAGTAAGGCTACGCTTGTTGATGTTTCTGACTGGTATGTGTGTATACACGGGCATCTATGCACATACGTGTGCAACTGTTCATGCCTAAACACCAGTTTGGAAAGCAAATATTTCTGTGAAACTGGGTTTTCAAGGGTGGCCACTAAGCAGATGCCTTCCAGAAATATCCATACTTATAGGAGATGGCTCATAAATCCCTAAGTCAGAGACCTCAGCAACACATGCTGTCATGGCTACATCTTCTGTTCCCCCAAAGCCTCGTGCATTCATAGATGGGGCTTTTCAGAGTTGGGCTGATCTAGGGTGTGTGATACTGAGATTAAGGGTGTGTGGTGCTACACTAGTCCACTGGTTAGAGTCACCACAGTTCTGGGTGGTACCACCCAAAAGGCTGGAAGCCTGGATGGGATAAAACAGAAAGGCAGGCTTGTTGCTTAATGCTTGCTGCCTTCTCCTTGCCATACTATGTTTTACGGACCGTTCCTCCTCTGCAATGTCTCTCTGTCCTGCTGCCCTGCAATGAAACCAGCCGACTAAGGGCTGAAATCTCTACAAACTGTGAATTATAATAAATCTTTCCTCTTTTAACTTTGAGCATTTGGGTATTTTGTCTCCGCAATGACAAAGGTAGCTGAGATAGTAGCCTAGTTGGATTAGCAGTTTTAGGTGTGGCTGAAATGATTATTGAAGAGGGAAGCCCCACCCTGGGTATGGATGGGACCAATCAATAGGCTTGTAGCCTGGATGGAATATAAAGGAATAGAAAGAAGGCAGTCTCCCTGCCTCCTGCCTGCCCCACCATGGACTGTCTCCTCAGGCATGCCCCTCTGCTATGCTGCCCTGCCTTGGTGCCAGCGCACTATGTACTGAAAACTCTACAGACACTGAGCTAAAATAAACTTTTCTTCTTTTAACTTGTGGGTACCAGGAATTTTG